TGACTGCGCAGAGATGTTTGCTACAAAATATTTGTTAGCTTTCGAGTCTCGGGTTCGATTTTCGTTACACCCACCATAAAATTTAAAATTTTTGTTATTGATTTTCTTAATTACGAAAAAGCATATGTAAATTGAAGAGCAAAATCGTATTCAAATGAAAAAAGCTACGCATAAAAAATCAGCCCTTCTAAGAGCTGTTCCCCTGAAAGCGGTAACGCAATGCCTTGCAATTGGGCCTGTTTCATATAAAAAATAATTAAGAAAATCAGCAAATGGTAAGACCCTCTACATTCCAGAGAAAACCTTATGTAATTGCTTTTTACTCCTTCTTTTTTCTACTGGGGAAGAATTTTTGCATACATACAGTATGCATGTATGTAGAAAAAGCAAAGAAATATAACCCTGTTTTTTTATTTCGAAATCTAAAAATATTTATAGGTCGCTCAAAGTGCTCAAAGTTAGAAAGTTAGGAGAATTCTAGTAATAATATCCAATGGTTTGTTTTACCATTTGTTTATACTACCCATTCTTTATGGGTCCGCCAATTACATTTTTTTGGGGTTTTTAGGGGACATATGGAAATGGTTGAATAAACCATTGGGTATTATTATTGAAAGTCTCTTGCGGAGAAGCAAAATTTTCTGATAGAAAAATATTGAATTTCAAGAATTCTATATCATTTATACGAGAAATTCTTTCTTCCAATATAAAATACGTCGAAAACTTTGACGACTTCTAAAGATTTTTTGATTTCAAAATAAAAGCAAGTAATTTTTAAGCAAAAAACAAAACCGACTTCAAATCTCATATAAAAATTTATGAGTACCGTTAATTTTTTCATGATGCAATGATCGGATCTAAACCGGATTAGTATGGGACCACCTCTGAGACGCTACCTTTCCGATGAAAACATAATTTTCGAAATCGGTTGACGTGGTCCAACGTTATGCGCTAACATACATAAAAGAAATATTCCGAAGAATTGATAACCTCCCCTTTTTTTTAAGTCGGTTAAAAACAGGGGTCTAATTTTTTTCAGTATAGAACAATAATAGGGGCTGAGATCATTAAAATTCCATTTTTACTTATTTTGGACCATCCTAATGTACATACATATGTACATGTAATACACATATGCATTCCCTTAAGCTGGCTAAATTGCCAGACACTGAGCTGCGTCTGTTCTTGAATTTTACAAATGTATTGCCAAAAAATGCGGTGAACCACCTAAACACGCGAATCTTGATCTGTATTTACTTAAGTACATATGTACATATATGTATCCGAATGCATGAAACGCTCATTCTCGTGTTAATTACACAGTGGAACAAGATTCTAGGTATTTGATGAAACCAAATTATAATAAAAATAATTACTATTACTTTCCAGAATAATTTCATTATTTGATCGAATTTTACTAATTTTTTCCTGTATTCAGGGTCACCAAATTTAAATACGCATAAAAAATAAACCAGGCTAAAAATCCTTGTGGGATTTTGCAATGGGAAGTGTAAGCTTTCATTTACTTTTGGTTTTATCAAATACGGAGACATGAACCTCAATTTTGTATCACAGTGTTATATTAGGACGTGTTACAATTTTTAAGCTTTTTATTGCGCTTCAACATTATTAATGCTATGCGAAGATCAGCAATCATCAATTCAGGTGGCTACTATTGACATACATACGTACATATGTACATAAGACTGCGTCACTCCCCATACGAAACTTGAGTTTTTATCAATACAAACAGTCTTTTTAGTATGCATTAAAAAAAAAAAAATCACCTCGGATGACAAAACAGTTTAAGCTAAAAAAAATTTGCATAAAAATATTTTAAATAAATTGTTAACGGAATCATAATAATGAGATTTTTGATGCTGTTTTTTGAACTTTTTTCAAAGACTGGTTTAAGAAAAACAGTTGAGTAGTTATTCAAGTTTTTCTTTAAGAAATCTTTGAAAAAAGTTAAGATAAAATATCAAACATCTCAATATTATGATTCCATTGAAAAAAATTTTTAAAATATTTTTATGTCGATTTTTTAAGCTCAAAATGTTTTGTGATCTGAGGGCATTTTTTCCAAAAAATCCTTTAAGAAACTATTTTTATTAAAAAAAAAACTCCATTTTTGGAGGTATTTTCTAATCGGTCCAGCTCACTTAAATCTTAATATTTTTCCGAAATATTTTGGTGGAAGTTTAGAATATAATAAATTTTGTAATCCCGCCGGAAAAACTGCCACTTTTTTTGGTGATGCAGTCTAATGTACTCGCATACATTTGTTTGAATAAACCATTATTGATAATGAAGTAGCGTAAAAAATTTCATTGCGATTTTATTAACACACGAGTTTCAGGATTTTGCCAAAACGTATTTGCAAAGTATGGAGTTAAAACAGAGTATAAAATTAACACCATGCATGTCTTACTAATTAGCTAATACGCACATAAACGAAACACAGATACATACAATATACTGTAATGGGTGCCACAACGGGGGTTTATTAAGCTAAACATGTATATATGCTGTGGTGTGGTGTGGTAAGCAGTGCGCGCTTCCACTCCGCAGGGCCTGGGTTCAAGCCCTGGTGAAAGCAACATCGCAAAAAAATATAGAAAAAAGGTTTTTTCTTAACAGCGGTTGTCCCTCGGCAGGCAATGGCAAACCTCCGAGGGTATTTCTGCCATGAAAAACAGCTTCTCACAAAAATAAAATCGCCGTTCGGAGGCGCCGTAAAACTGTAGGTCCCTCCCCTTTGTGTGAAAACATCAAGGAACACGCCACAAATCGGAGGAGAAGCTCGGCCAAACATTAACATATGTGTAAGCGCCATTCTATTATTATTATTATACTGTATTCCCTAAAAACTTGTATGAAAAAAGCTTTTGAACTACAATTTATTCAGTTTTTTAGTTAAAGGATATAAGCCGATTAGTTGTTAACCCTTTCACGCCCGACTTAAATTGGGTGGGTCTAAAACTATGACCACATATTACTGATGGTTGAGTATTAAATATGAACTGGCATAAATTTGAAATTTCTATGATTTCTGATTTAAGTAATGCCGAATTTCCACTAGGCATTGAAATGACATAAAATGGGTGCCATTTAAAAAATGCCCAATTTCGTCATTACCATTTTTGCCATTTAATGCCTAGTGCAAATCCAGCATAAGACAGACACCCATTATTTCCAACTTTCTTTCATGTTCACATCGAATTTTGAAGTTCGAAATTGTGTTACTACAATCACTCAATAGGAGCATGATGTCTTTGATGAGATTCAAAGGTACGAATCAATAAAATTAACACACGTCTGCTGGCGATAAAAATAAATATGCCTACGTATTTACAACCGATTTTTTTTTAATAGTATTGTATGTACTTAATGAGCTTTTTTTTATTGGCAGTAATGTGCCAAATTCCATTTGTTGCTCATACGCCGCGTTGGCCCAATAAAAATACGAGCTTTGATCGATTAAGTAAGCGCAATGCTTTTGTAGTGATGCAATAAACTTAAAAATTATGTGCTTAACTATTTAGAAGGGTACAAAATAACTTTTGGAGTAGCGCAAGCAAAATAAGCGATCGAGCTAACCGTCAACTAAAGACAATACAAGGGAGGCTGGGTATTTTTTCGACAGACTTGGCGATGTTGATCCACAAAGCAATTTGGGGACAGGTATATCCATATTTACATAAGTATTTAAATAGCAAAACTAGGCTCCAAAGTCAAAAGTAAAATAAATGATGCGACGAAGACCGTTATTGTATAAAAACTTATTCCAAATGAAACGAGGAATAAAAAAAACTATGAAGTAATTCAATATTTTTATTTTTATAGGCCATCTTTAGCATCGATTGGCATTTTTGAACCCCTAAGGTTGGAAGTAATAAAGTGAAGTGATGATTTGGAATCGCATTTCTAGCGAAAGACATAAACTTTTCGTCTAAGTACTAAAAGATGCGCAGTATTTTAGACCACACTTACCTAAAATCATTCGGTAGAACCTAGGTCCGACGCCAGGTCAACTAAAGATTTCCAGAAGATTTTGCCGAAAGTGTGCTCAGTGCAAACTAGAAAACAAACCAGTAGGAACTGAGCGGCTAAAATGCGCAATTAAAGTGACTTTAAACTCCCACTCGTGCATTCTAATTAATATTCATTAAAAAAAATATTTAAATATTAACTTTCCATTTTTAAATTACCCAAGCAATCGTGAATAAATAAATTAGACGAGATACTCTTTGAAAATACTGCAGTTTTTTCAATTACCAGCAATTTGTGATTTTTTACTACTAATACGCACACATCTAACTAAAAACGCGCCCTATTAAATTGATTTATTTAAAGAGTTAAGGGGCTTGTTGTTTGACCAAATTACGAATAATAAAGGTCAGGGAGTTACGGTAATCAACTTAAGCATTTGACATGCAATTGAATATTTTATGAGTATGCATGTATGTACATACATAAGTACATATTCTATGTATGTATATGTAGTTGGAAAAATAAATTGGATATGCCTCCAATTGTGCAAAAATCACTGAAACTATTTTTATGAGCAAATGTATTTGTGCAAAAGCCTAGATAGAAAATTTAGCGTATTAAATAATAACAGCAATCAAAAACAATGACAACCCCCCGTTTTTTTTTGCAGCTAAATCACAATAATGAAGGTGATACAAATGAAATGGTTGTGAGTACACACCCTCTGTAGAAACACCACCACTTGCACAATGAAAAGCATAAAGCATGTATCTACATAGGAATCCTACCAGCAAAATGAGAAATGCTTTTGCAATAGAGCCTTCCCTTTGGGTAACGTATTACAATATTGAGCTTACACAAAAGCACATTGGCCTACATTTTTAGACCGCAGACTCTTTTAAAATGTTGAAATGTGGCTGATAATGGCAATCTCAGTAAAAATTATATTTTTTAATACTTAAATTTACTACCAAAATTCGCATTTATTTTCTAATCTTATTGGCACAAACACTAATTAATAAAAAGCATATTAAACAAAATACTCTTATTGTTATTGCAGGAATTCAGGAATCTTATAATTCGAGTAAACACCTTGGAAGTTTATAACCCAGCCAGTGCCATCATAGTTCAGCGTTTTATGGAAACGTATTGAAAGTGAACTGCGTTCGCTTTTGTACATTTTGGGATTGTCCTAAAAAAAAAAATAAAGTATTATATATAATTATTTTTCTAAATAAAAAAGGAATTCATTAGTAAATTTTACCTCGCCGCAAAAACGTCGAACAACTCTGTCTGGACCTTCATCGTTGGACTCGATAATCTCCAAATAATCTGAATGGCAAGTGTTTTTAGTGCCAAGATCGAAAACTGTTGTTGTAAAGGAAGTATAAATATACATATACTTAAATTTCAATTTTACGTATGTACGTATGTTTGTAAGTAGGTAGCAATCTGATGAGGATTAGTCAGCAAACGCAATGAATAAAAGTTACATAAAAATAAACCCTAATTTTGCAGATGAATGAAGATTTGTACTATGATGAGGTACATATTGTTAGTTTTGTATGCACTTCTCAAACAGTGTGAAAATTACACTAGTCAATATTTTTTCATCTGAGATAAGGCTAGCCGTTTCTAATATATTTTCGGTCGCTGAATTCAAATTTAAACTCAGAAGTGTTCTGTCACATCAGTTATTTTTTAAATATCCTAACCTAAAAATGCGGGTATGGGCTATTTCCGAGATTATGTAGCATAGCTAAGAGAGGTCTCGCATAGTCGTTTTTTAACATAATCAAATATTAAATCACCCTAAACCGATAAAAAGTTTCTAAGGGGTCACTTTGACCTGTCATATTTCAAAATGTTCTGCAATTTACTTCCGAGTGAACTTCTACAAAGCTCGATTTGAGTTCGAAGAACCTGCCTGATAGCCTTTTCACACCCATTTCGAGAGATATCCAAAATACAACCAGTTTGCACATTTACAGGTGAAGCGCTTTAATTTGACACCCCATTTTTGAAAATCGAGCGAAAGGTGCAAATTCTATGTCCTGGACAAAAAATCCATTCGCGTATTAAATGTATATATAGAAGACAGGGGAAAAGAAGTGTAGAAGGCCTTTTGGAAGGGCTTTTATCTTCTGCAATTATATTCTGGGAATTTTTTCCGCAACTTCCTCTCAAGTGGAGTCAAACATTCAATGCCACGGTGAAAGGGGAATATAGGAAACGCGTGAACAGAAACGGAACGATTACGTTGAACATTTAACGCCACTGAAGAGTCAAGAACAAAGGCAAATAACGAACTAGAAATGAATCGAAAACCGGCCCGCCCTTAGACCCATTCAATTGATAGACGCTGGGCTTCATTATTTCACACTGCGTCGTCGAATGCCGTTAAAGATAACCATAATATTACCAATAGTTAAGGTAATATCGCCAAAGAGCCATAATAAGTAATCGAGGTGGAGCAGACGCGAGCTCATTTGACCTATAGATTTTTCACGTCGCTGATCACAATCCCGATATTCATATGACCCCGCCACGTCTAGGTCAAGGTAAAATCGATATAATTTTTAGACCCCGGATTCATATAAAAAAAACAGAAAATTTCACGTTCATATACAGTTCGATATTTCAGTCAAAGTGACCACTGGAGGCCGTTTAGAGGTCATCAGAGGTGTTAGACCTTCGTTTGATATTGACGTGATGAAGTCATATGAATACCCGGATCCTCTGATCAGCGACCCTAAAAACTGTAAGTCCCAATGCACACCCATGCAGTACATGCTTTTGTGTTTTTTTTTTTTAAGCATTTAGTACCTTCTTTTTCAACCCCCCCAAATTTACAAAATCCGAGAATATTCATAATCTTACCTTCAAAATGCAGCAACACATGCAAATTCGATGGTACGCGAATATTCCAAAGACAATTGGAATTATTTCGCACATTATTCGGATAGAATGGATTAACGATTGTGCCACGATTATTGTATAGATTACCACCACAACCAGGGCCATCAAGGCTAGCCAAATAAGTAATATCGAATTTTGTATAGTAGCCGCTCATTTTCACATGCAAACGTAATTTATTCTCGCTAGAGAAGAGCGCCTTATCATTGCCAGTGTACGAGCAAATCTTTTGCAATGAACTATTCGTATTAGCGTTAAAAACTTCAATATATTCCTTTGTGCATTCATATTCAGCAAATGTAACATCCGCATAGTAAAGGCTGAGTGAATAGTTTTGTGGCGCTTCTATGTAGACATCACATTCATCAGCAGTATCGGAGATTTGTATGCGTCCTTGTGTGTCGGTGTAATTACGGAAGCAGCCTTGCGAGAGATTAAGAATGAAATAACACATTAAAAGTGGTGATTTTAAAAAAGGTTAGTAGTATAG